ATTTGCTAATGTATCTAAAAGATAAGAAGTTAAATAATCGCATTGTATTATCGAAAGAGTATTTAAATTATGACAACAAGCTAATCCTTCAAAAGAATCACAAAGTTCAAATGAACATTGAAACATTTCAATTTCTCTCATACTATGTGCTTGACTACTAATAGCTTCGATAATACATGATATATCATGAAGATTCAACTCCCATAAAAGTAGTTTACGAAGACCTTTTTGAGATTGAATTAATGAAGCCAAAGAATCACAAGTTGGGGCAGCGAAAGCTCTTATCTTTAGATAAGTAAGATCCTGACAAACCTTTGATAAGGAGAATAAAAAATCCAGAGAGACGCAATCAGGAATAGTATAATTTGAACCAACTCCATGATATTCCAAAATCGTTAATCGTTGAAACCATGATGGATCATTCATAGGATTATGAAGCATGCAATATCTTGTTAATATATTAGTAAAAACTATTGGTAATCTTCTGACATCAAAATAAATATAGTCGAGATAATTGCAATGTTTAAAAATTAATTCTATAATCGCTTCAATCATAGAAAATTTATTTTGATCATAATTATTTAACCCATTTCGAGTAAAATATTGATCATTAGAATTGTCCAAATCGGCAAGAATTTTTCTTGAATTTTTAAAATTGGTATTTAACCAATCTGAAATTTCATCATACAAGCCTTCAAAATCTAATTCTCTCAAGAAAGCAGGATAAAAAAATAAAGGAGATGAGAAAGGTTGATTCGATTCTGAAAAAAATTGATTTCTTTTAGATTCTGGGAGGCAGGATAAATAAGTTCGAATAATGTGTCCACCATTTTTTGATGATCTATATCTGAATCTAAGCCTGCTGAATGGTTTTCTCCATAGGATTGGTACAACACCGTTACTCCAATCTCTATTCACGAAAAGGCAAGAATATAGCGTTTCGCTATCATAAACACAATTAAAAATATTATTAAGACATTCAAGTGGCAAATATGAAGCCATTTCTTGTTTTTATTTTTTTTTCATAGGGAATTGATGAAATTCGAGTGTTTAAATCTCAAAAATAAGGTTTCAACATCAATTTAGTAATAATTAACCAAAATGATTATCGTTACAATTTTTTTTACGTAATCAAATTAGATAATTATATTGCACATATTGCACTTACGTAATTTGTTAGTCGGCATTAAACTACTGAAGAAGGGTCCACGCGTTTTATAATAAATCTATATAACACTTATCCTGGGTTCGTTTGAAGGTAAATAAATATCTGCATGCCGAATTCATTGAAGTAATATTTTCTGAAAATTTTTATTTTATTTTGGTTTTATTAAATAATTTAAATAATTTAACAATAGTATAGTCTGATATTCGACAGATCGTCCGTCGGATCCTTTTAACGGATCAGAGCATTGAATTGCACAAACGTATATCGATTAATTTTCATTGGTTTTACATTCAATATCGGAATAGCCTCTTTTAGAATACTCTCTTCAATTCGTAATTTCTAAAAAAGTAGATTAATGATATAAAAATAAAACCATTTATTAATTTTTTTAGTTTTTTTTTTGTCTAAAGTACTAAAAAATTTTTTGTGATCATAAGCTACAGTAATTACGCGTACGTACGTACGTATTTACTGTATGAAATTATTAATCATTGGCGTTAGTTTTCTAAAGTTACCGCTCAGAATTTACAATTTTAGCATCACTGAATGTTGTATCAAACAAATTTTTTATCAATTGAACCCGTAAACAATTAAACAGGTTATCGTTTTCAGATTACAGAACCTACCATCTAATAATAAAATTGTCTATTATTTGAGAATATTTATTACGATTAATCTAATCGGATTTCTCAATACTGTAGTCTGAGAAAATTCTTTAAAAAACAAGTTTTTCTCGTTATGTAAGATGAGATTGGCTTTTTTGGAATTTTAGAAAAAATTATACAGTAAACGAGTCTAGACAAGCAGGCTAATTGGCTTAGTTAATGTATCATGGTCACTAGTCTTATAGGACAATTTTAAATTTTTGAAGGGATTTGGTCGAATATATATATTTATTAGTGTTCTTTGAACAAATAATGACCTATCAACTAACTTAGTTAAAATCTATCTGATTGGTTACCGATCCCTTTTTAAATTTTATTCAATTGATATTGTGATAAATAGTTAATTAAATTTTGTCAGCAAGTATAAAAGTTTCGTCAACTGTTTCATTATACAGCGAACCTCTTTAAATGCTCACCTTCGAGATCATAATAATAAAAGAACGAAGTATGCATTTAAAATTGAATGCATCTAGTTTTGTTTGAGATTAAAAAAATGGTCTAGCTCAACTTTTTTAAACATTAAAACGTTTTCATTAAAAGTATCTATCTATTTGATATCTAGGCATGTATGATCTGATCTAAAAAACCAGGGTATAATGCTCTAAATAAAGTTGCATTTTACGCTTTCAAATCTAAAACCCAACTATAATATTATATATAAATATATTGTATAAACTTATACTGCAAATAAAATAATTAAACTATATGCAGTAAAATATATATAATAGGGGTTTCAAAATTAAATCAGAGAATCTTATTTATTTTTCCGATTTATAATTCAACACAGTAAAAATATTATTTAAAAATTCTACTTATTTTCGAAATACGTCACTTATTTGTTAATTTTGAAACCATCTAATATACACTAAAATATTATAAATATATTTTATAAAATAATCAAAATTTAAATTAAAATCGAGCTTAGTCAAACTAAAACATCATGTATTATATTGTTGTGCTGTCATGTTATTGACGACTGCACTAAAAATTTCATATTTTGCAGTTTAACGTGAATTTCTTCTTTTGTGCAGTTTAACATGAATTTCTTTTTTTGTGAAGTTTAACGTGAATTTCTTCTTTGTGGGCCATTCTGCCGACAATTTTTGGTGGATCCTCTTCCAATACCAGATAATCCTGTATTCTCTCAACTAGAAAATTTATTATAACAAGTAATTAAAAGCATTTACATCCTATAAGTATGCAAATTGGAACATGCTTGAATTCATGTTCATCTGCATTTATCAATGCAAAGCCTGCTAATGAATAACGATAATAGCAACAGTGGAAAGCCCAACTAGGCCACCTGCGATATCAACACGAGTATGAGACCATCGGTCACATGCCCAATTAAATATGTCAAATGCCGCGTAAATTGGATATCTACTAACAGATTCCAGGCCTAGATAATTATAATCTAATCTATTAAAGTAATCTAGAGCCATTTGGATTTTAAATATTATATAAATTTATATTTTAGTATATGCTGCCATATCCAACCAATCAGCATCATGCGAACGGACAGAATTGCACACGTGGCACTGTTTATCCGGACAATAATAATAATGCATATCTGTTACATTTTCAAATTACAAAAATATATGTAACTAAAGTTACGTAACTAATTAAAGTTACGTAACTACGCACCTAATTAATGTTAAAGTTACGCACTTAATTAAAATTACGAAACAGTGGAATCGTGACTGGTCGCATGATTCAAGACGGTCCAAAGGTTCTATAACACAGCCGCAGTATGCCGTCGATTAGTTACTACCTTGAATGCTTACTACCAATACATGCGAGATTGCTTGCTTTTTGCGTTCGTGCAATACTACCAATAAGTTTATAGATTGCAGGCACAATCTTATTTAAGATCTTACAGGGTGATTCAAACCTAATGCTCAAGGGTTTTTGATTTCGAATTAAATTAGTGATGTAATTATTTTGAAATCAGTGATTCGTAATCTTTATTTATTTTGATTTGTAAGCTTATTTATATAATAATAATTAATACTTTTTACGATCGTGAATTTTCTTTATCTTTCATGAAATGCCTCATATGCCTGATCGACAATTACATATTAAAGACATAAATAATATTTTTGAGAAGAATATTCTAATAGTACTCATAAAAAATACAATTGATATTTTCGAAAAAGAAATTAATAAGGTTACTAATTTCATTTTCTGATTTCAAAATTTCAAACCAGAAATAGGACCTTTAAACCCTCACTTATTTTCGAAATAAGTTAACTTTGAATCGCTCTAATATATACCATGATCGCACCATGATCGCACCATAAGTACATTACAACACTTAAGAGCTGCTCTGGACGATTCGTCGTATGTCGTGAAATACATTGGGACGATTCTCCGCATCACTACTCAAATACTATACTAACAGCATAATTATAGCCTCAATAAATTTTTCGGGTATAACTAGGGATAGCACATGATTTAAATCACGATGATTTAAATCACTGATTTTTGATTAAATCAATTTAAAGCTGATTTAAATCTTTTATTATGTAATCATTATTATTAATATATTTAAACTATATAAATGTATTTTTAAATTACAATGTTTTTTTTTATATTACTGTGTATTACGCAACAAGATGATTTAATCATTTTTAAATCATAAAAATCGATTTAAATCATGATTTTTGCCATCCCTAGGTATAACTACGTAACTATTCAAGCAGTGTATAAAATTCAAATGTGTGCTAAATGAATGAAAATGAATATTGAACAAAAATTCTATGTGTGTTATATATGCGGAAAGAAAAATCTATGTGCGCAATTATCTTAAGCGCACGTTCAATTTTATACACTGGTCTCAAGGCACAATGAATAAAGCAGATTTTACTACAACTACAATAATCCTTTACGTGTGACTGCAGTGAATCACCGTTAAAATAGATAAGCCAACTCAAGGTTTTCATCATTAAATTCTATTATCTATCGTCTAGCAGTCCCAACATAGGATTGTTGAAATTATTATCTCGGATTAATGAATTAGGATAGTCCATTTAGGACGTTACTCACCACTTGCTAAATCCTAACGCGTCTTTTTTGAATCGAGTCTTATCGTTTAGTTACACGAACCCGATTTTGGTAGAGCCTTTTTAATACTATATTAAAACATGCAAAGATAAATGACTCGGTCTTATCGTTATATTGTACGGTACTAAATATAATTATGGTAATTATAAAGGTCTAATAACTATACAAATCATATCGATTACTCTCTGAATTTATTGTAATCAGCGTTTAAAATTCAGAAAAAATTACTTGCACAGTTGCAATAATTTTTAAAAAAAAATTTTACTTGCACATTTACAAAGATTTGCATGAATTCTTTACAAAATACTTGCACACTAAAAACTCTTGCCGTGTGCATCTTGTGCATGCCAATTTCAATAAAATTATAATGGGGGTTTCAGAGTTAACTTATTTTGAAAATAAGTGGAGTTTGAAAAGCCTATTTTTGTTTTGAAATTTCAAAATCAGAATTGAAAAAGGAGTTATCCGGAGATAAAATAAACACTTTTTTTTGATGATGTATAATATCTTATTATATAAATAGGCTCGCAAATAAAAATGAATAGGATTTATAGATCGCTGATTACAAAATTAATGCGTCACTAATTAATTTGAAATCAGAAACCTGAACCTTAGGTCTGAAACCCCCTAATAGTGTTATTTTCACAGGCCCTTTATTATAATAAAGCTTTTGATTTACTAATCGAAATAAAAATCTTTACAATTTAGAGATTAATTTGAATTTATAAACTTCTTAATAAGAGTCTTGTTTTTTTGCGAGTACAAAATTTGCATTTTTTTTTCTTATAATTTTATTTTATTTATTTTTTATTTTATTCTTTTGAATATCAGATCAATAATTTGAGAACACTTTTGAACTATTACACTTCCTTGAATGTGAAGTTTATTTAGTATTGTGATTTAGAAATTCATCAGTATATGTTTCTATTATCTAGGGATGCTAACAGTCCGGTCTGGTTCAGTCTGGTCAATCTTGGTCCAAGTCTAGTCTGGTCTATTATGGTCTTCTGTCTTATGACTTTTCTAGCCTAGACCGGTCCAGACCGAACCAGTCTTAAGACTTAGAGCAGACCAATTTTTTTTTAGGCCCAAACCGGTCTTAAGACTAACTGTGGACTATTAGTCTAAGACCGGACCACATAACATCCCTATTATTATCATAAGATTTACAGAAAATTTTTACCTCAACTTTTAAAATAAATTAGACTTTTAAGATTAAAATTAGAGCTTAAACTAAGATTAAAGGTTAGGATTTCTTAGGGTACTGAGCATTTTTATTTAATACTCCAAATATCAACTGATATATGTGTTTCAAAAACTGAACGGATTTCGAAAATATGTGTAGACTTTAAAATCGAAATTGATTTTACGAATGTCAATAAAAGAAGTGTCTGATAACTAGTGTTCCGATCCTTAATCCGATCATCTGAATTGGTCCCTAAATTTAGATAAATTTAAATATCCAGAGCAGAGATTTCTACTCGGATTTGTAAATAACGGACATAAGGTTATTCTCAAAGCTAGCTTTATTACTAATCTGACACGGATTCAATCCGGATTTAATAGAATCCGGATGGCCTGTCAAAGATAGGATCGGAACACTACTGATAACTTATGTTTTATGAAATGAAACTTTTTTTCATGTAGTTTAAAACGTAATTAACAATAAATATATCGATATTATAAAAATAAAAGCATTCAGAACTTGATTTGAAATAAACTTTTTAAATAACTTCAAAAAAGTAAATATCTATCACACATTTGAAATAGCACAGGTTGGATGAAAGGCAAATCGGGCTCAACCGGCATCACGTAATCTCGATATGAACCTGATTTGAAACAGATATTTGGCGGAAATAGGAGACCTTTAGGATACAAATCGGGTTCGGAATGTCGATAGTTCCATTGGTAAATTGATAAGGCTTGGCTAATAACTTTATCGATTTACCTATAGAGCTGTCGGCATATTGAACGCCTATATGAACCCGATTTGTATCCTAAAGGTCTCCTATTTCCGCCAAATACTGGTTCAAATCAGGTTCATATCGGGATTACGTGATGCCGGTTGGAGCCCGATTTGCCCTCATTCGACTTGTGTAAGTTACTCAAATCTTAATTTTTATTCTGAACTATTACATAATTTATGTATTTAATCAAAAATACTGTCACATCTAAAAGGATCTTTGATTTTTGGCCAATTGCTGATTAGTCACTGACTAGTAATAAACTGTAATAAGCTGATAAATTTTATAAACAGTTTTATGTAACTATATAGTTAATTTGTTTATGTAACTAACTGCCAGTTTTTAACTGATATACAGTAGTTCGTTTTTTAACGTTTAACATCCCTAATTGTAAATAACTGATAATAATACAATTTAATATACAGTTGAAATAAACAAAATAATATTGCGTTACGACTCAAAATTTACTTTCTCTAGGGGTCCATGCTTTGATAAGTGATAACTACCCAAAACGTGGGCAACCCACATCAACGCACGTCTATATAAAGATAAAAGCCATTTAGGATACCACCAAGAGAATCTCGTCATTTCAAAAGTTTCTGGGTTATTTTTATTGAAAAAGTCCACAAAGTAACCCGGTCTGTCCGTCATAACCGCATCCACATTAATATTATAACATTCTTTAGCATAATCTAGCGTATTAACTGTCCATACGAAAACAGGCTTTCCAACTTGATGTGCTTGTTCAATAAAGTCTCGACCTTCTTTATTCCAAGCTACTGATGAATACATCAAATTATACGCATCAACACAAGAAAAGTATTCTCGCGCAATTTTTAATGACGCACCAATATATGCAATAGGAATGTCCGGTAAATAGGTTTTGGCATAAGGTAAATATTTAGGATGCCAAATACCTAAAATGAATCTGGTTGAAAAAATTTTTAGATCATCGCTACGGGAGCGTAATATTTTTTCAATATCAACAATGATGGAAGGAGAGTTTAATAATTTAATATCTATCATTGCCCATATATGTGAATTTTCTTCCATCAACATAAGGTCTACCACCTTTTTAAATAAAGCGATAGGACAATTAGGTTCTTTCTTGGACCTTAAATGTTCAATATCACCATAATAATTTCGGTCCATCACTCGACCTTTGCTATCCGTCACACGATCCAAAGTTGAGTCGTGTAATACTACGATTTCACCATCTAATGTTTTTTGAATATCTTTAAAAAAATAATAATTTATTCATAAAAAAATATATTCTTTAAATATAATAATAATTCAAAAAAAAAAAAAAAAAAAGATAAATCACCAAATTCAATAGCATCGGCGCCATCAGCTATTGCGCCCTTGAGTGCCATTATCGAATTTTCCGGGTAAGAAGCGCTAGCGCCTCTATGTCCTACGATTAATAGTCCATCTTTTTTATTTTTCCTAAGTGCGAAACCAGCATGTGAACTTTGGTTTTCGGAATTTTTTACTTTATTATAGTAAATATATGATGCTTAACGTTAATTAAGTTATGAACGGAATTTTTTAGTATACACTTGCATATAATAAGTCTGAACCCTCCAATTAAGAAATTCCTTGTTTTTATATAAAAACTTAGATATTCAATTCAGATTTATTCGATGCGTGTATGAATGATTAATAAATACTAACTTTGTTCAGATAAAAGTTTGGCTATAGATATTAAAAAAAAATTAACATGATCAGAATATGTTAAAATAACGTTAAAAAAAAAAAAAACTCCCAAAACTTACCACTCATAATTGTAATTTCAATGAAAAATATTCACAAGAAAAAGAAAAATAACGTTCTATAAGAATATTTATCGTTATACACGCTTTTTTAATTTTCACACTGTAGTACTGTACAATCCTGATTTCAAATAAGAAATACGAGTACAAGTCACTCTCGTTATAATTGATCGGGCTGTGAAATTTTCTTTACTATATCGAGAGTCTATTAGTAAATTTTGCTACATCGAGAGGGTTTTTATATAAACTGTTCTTCACTATACTTATATCGAGAGTTCACTATAACAAGAGTAACTTGTACTATGCTTAACATATTTATCTAAACCATTATTAATGTACCCCACGGACAGACAAGTCTTTGCTCCATTCAGCAGTTCATTATTCTGAACGTGATTTATTTTGGTAATCGATACATATTTTAAATTAATGAATATCGTAGATATTTGTTTACAATTTTAAAAATGGCGGGCGGCTAATTAGCTAAAAAAGTATTATCAGTTGAATCCAAGTTGATTATCAGTTTCATAACATAGATAATTCATAAAGAGGGGATGATGGCATAAAACAACACAAAAAATACGAAATAAAAAGCCAATACTGCAATTTGATTGGTTAATATCTGTTTTTTTATATAAATCTTAAAAATAGAGGGAGTTTATGTTAAACAAAGAATTAAATTAGCGTGACTTTACAATTATACTCTTCTAATCATATCCCTACGCAACATTCTCTAAATGTAAACTCAATAAACGGTTTAATTTTCTTATTGTTCTCTAAATACATGTAGTTAAACGTTTGTTCTTGCATTTAGAAAAGCCCGACTTTTCTCTATTTTTGCTTAAAATGATGTAATAATTATATAAATCCACTTTTTTTATTAATAAAAATTTTTAATTTCAAATTCAAGTCTAGACTAAAAAAAAAAAAATTTAAATAAACCCAATTTTTTATTTGTACTACAGTATGTGTTATGTGTTATAAAATTCTAATTTTTATATTTTTAATAAATTTTAGGTAAGTGTTCCTATTTTGACGCAGGTAACTTTTACGATAAATATCACGTGACTCGCCGTCCAGAACTGGATAATTTTGGTACCATTCAATTCGTCTCATTTGGACGAATCGAATGGCACCAAAACCATCCAAGATATTATCTATTGAAGTTTGGTTAAAAAATGGTCCTAATTTGATATAGCGACGCAGGTAAACGTTTACGATGAATACCATGTGATGTATTGATTAGATTCACAAAATCTTGTGAATCTGATCAATACATCACATGGTATTCATACCTGCGTCAAATTTGATACTTTGGTTAATGGAGTATCTCGAGAACTATCATTCGGAACTGGTACCGTTCGATTCGCCTCGATGAGACGAATCGGATGGTACCAAAATTATATGATTCTGATCAACGGTCGTCGTGCGTCAAATTAGGTACATCTACCTTATATTTTCTATATTTTTATCTTTAAAATAATCTTATGCTAAATTAATTTTTGTTTATATACAGTATTATATAACTTTGCAAATTAATATTTGTTATTACAGTATTTTGTTTTTTTTTTAAAAAAAAATATCAATATTTAAAAAATTAATTTTTTTTAAAAAAAAATTAAAAGACTAATATTTTTTTAAATAATTTTTATATAAAATTAATTTTTTGGTTCTCATAACATAAAATCTTTAAAAAGAGTAACCTTCATCCGGCTATTAATTTTATTTTTAAAATATTTTAATAAAATTTTTTTTAATTTAGAAAAAAAAACCATCTAGATAGTAAATATTCTTAAAATTTTTTTTTAAAGTTTATCAAAATTTGGCTGGCCGGGTTATAAGAACCAAAAAAATTATCTTTGCTTAGCCTAAATTACAATTTAATATTTTTATATCTTTAATATTTTTACATCTTTATAGTATATAAATTATTTTTTTAAAACTTTGATTAAACAACTAAAATAAATTTAATAACTTTTTTTGTATTAATATATCTGTAGCCATGGCTACTATAGCCACAACTCATAAAGCCAAATAAATTTCAAGATTAAATGTAATATAACACAATCAAGAAAATTTAAACTAAACAATTATTTTATAAAAAAATTATTTATAACTCAAAATTGGATATATGAAACTACTTTTTAATTCTATCAAAAAATTCCTTGCTGCTAATTTTACTATAAAGTACCTGCATAATATCTTTACCTCACACTAACCTCTAACTAACAAAAAAAAAAGCTATTTTAATTGTTTTGATAGTTATATTAGATCTTAGTTATGGCTACAAATATATTTCACTTTTTTTTACTTAAATTCCAAATAAAATTTAAATAAAAAATTTTATTACATTTTAAAATTTTATATCTGATAATAAAAATAAAAAATATAAAAAATATGTTTGTTATACGTAATAATCTACATAGATCATACCACTATTACATTATAAATGTGAGAATTGGATTCTAAGGATAAATTTTCGTCAACATGATTATGCAAAAATGTTTACAATGCAAGGTATGTTACCAGAATTACTGCCAATAACTTGGATTCTAAAAGTTATCCAAATTTTTTACTTAAACTATTCATTTTTATGTTCTAAAGCCGTTTCAAAGTAAAATTACGGATAAATGATTAAAAATTCTTTTGTCAAACGTTGGATTAATTAATTTTATTGATAAAATTCCTTTATTAAAGCTTTATAGTTTCTGAACTTATTAGGTTGTTTAACTAAATCTTAAATTTTGAAATAGTGTCAATTAAAGTAACACATATTTAATCTATTTGCGAGACATTTTAATCTGATGAGACATAATTTACACGCTGAGTGAGCACTTGATGAAAACCCAGAATGCTGTTCAAATTGCACGGTAGGTGGACGTGTAGCAAATTTTATATTTGTTTACATTCTAAAGAAAACGAGTGTGAAGTTTGCAAATTTGGAAAGCCATCTAGATTTTTGATATGGTTTAATTATATACAAAATATATTTAGATTTGAATCGAATGTTACATTTAGAGCACCATACATGTATAAAAAATATTGATCTATTTTAATTTTTATTACTTTTTTTATAAATATTTTAAGCACCAAATAGTAAAAAATTATTTCATATCCATATCTTGATTATCATTAATCTTGCTTTCTTGCATTAATTTGGTTCTGGTTTCCTCCAAAATTTTAATAAAAGTATTACCTGTCAAAGCCGATTTCAACATATCGTCATTAGTAACATTTGTGTCATTCAAAAAACCAAGAGGCAAATTCCCTGTCGAAAGGAGTTTATGTTTGATTTTCGGATGCTGGGAAAATTTGAGGTACAAAGCATTGCGCGTAATTTCTTGTATATAATGCTCTTGATTTGTACTGTTAACTGAATGTGTTGGAATCCATTCGCTTTTATTTGTTGGGCACAGATCACAAACAATCTTTTTACGATTTTCTTTGATGTGAGCTTCAACTATGAATTTTATTTTATTAATAATTTGGCATGATATAAAAAAACTATAATAAGATTGCAAAACGTACGTACCATAATGTAGAATACTACACCAAATTTGCCCATCAATTTTTGTTGCAGCAGGATAAGAATTATTAAATTCGCGATAGGCATTCAAGAGTGAAGTGGCACTTTCATCCTTTTCCATATTAGTCTATTTTTATAAAAAAATTAATACAATAGCCATATTAACCATCAATTACAATTTACCTAACAGAGTTAAACGTGCGATAATTATTATACTGTACCTTTTCAATATATGACGTAACTTCAGCTGCGACTTCATTTTCTTCATCCACCTGAATACAATACGAGACACCAGCTATATCACATTGGTTTGAAATCATTGCACGCGAGATATGATACACACCAACCCAGATCGCAATAATTTTCAAAGTGTAACAATCGAACAAAAGACGTAATCGTTTGATCAAAGAGGTAATAACATTAACAGGATAAATAGGATCTGCAGTAACAAAGACGTTTATATTCCGATTATTTGTCCAACAGTCGAGAACTATATCATTTATAATCTTGGCTATTGGTGCATAATCATCCAAACCATCGAAGTCGCGGAACATAAATTGAAGGTTATTTTTGTTCCATTCATGAGAAGGAAAATATTTACTCAAGTCGTATCTAAACGAAATGAACAGAATAATAGTGTGCTTTTCCAAAAAGAGTTCTTTTTTCGAAGAATCATTGATTTCTGAAATATGATTTATACAAATATCCGACTGTTGTACGAGAGACATTTGTAAATGTGTGAGTGAAAGGTTACAAAATATGTGCTTATCAGCATGATGGAAAGTCGTTTTGATTGGCTGATGTGGTACAACTGTAACGTCGATCGTTACACAATTATTTATATTGG